TAAAAATAACCCTCATTACCTCCCCCCCAAAATAAATAAATAAACCTCTTTACTTCCCCCCAAAATAAAAATAAATTGTACAAAAAGAAGCTCCACAGGTAATATTATTAAGATGTTATTTTGCCCCAAATCTATTAATTCAATGCAATCCCAACAAAACTTACATTAGTTTTTTTTAGAATTCTAATAAACCTACATTAGAATTTAGAATAATAAAGGATTATCGATAGCTAAGATAACCTTCAAAAAGTAGTTTTGATGGCACAACATTGTAAATCAACTATATTTCAATAAAAATAAATAAATAACTAAATGATACAACTACTTTGAAAAAAAAAAAGCTGTGATAGGAATTTGTCCCACTAGATATTAAGACATACTAAAGGCCTTACTAATTAAAGAAAAAACTACTGATATTGGCTCAAATAGCCCGATGGAATAGAAAAAAGGGCTCAGAGACAGAGCCCTATATCCATGGAACTTAATATATGATAAGAAGTGGTACCACATAAACAAAACGATGGGACAGATTGCTTAGCAGATAGTGATGGAACATCTGGCTCATGATATGGAAAAAAATAAAACCAGATCCCTCTCTCACACCACAAATAAGGATGGACTCTAGATGGGTTAAAAACCTAAATGTGAGAAAAAATTATAAAGTTAATAGAAGAAAATACTGAACATCTATATGACCTGGGGAAAGAAGAATTTAAAAGCACAGACCATAAGGGGGGGAAATTAATTACATGAAAATTAAGGATCTTTATTCAACTAAGAATACTACTTATAGTTAATACCATACATGTCAGCGTGGAAAAGGGTATTTGCAATTTCCAACACCAAAGAGATTCATAATTAGACTATGTGAGGGACTCCCGAAGATCAACAAGAAGAGGAATATGAGAATTGGCCCAACAGTAATATGGATATGAACAAGCAATTTACATGAGGAAATCAAAAACCGAACAAGTATATGAGGGGTACTCAAAATAATTGTCAATCATTTTTAAAACTAATGAAATATGACTACATCTGTTGGACTGGAAGATTTTAGAAAGCTGAATAATGCTAAATGTTGGCAGGGATGGGGGAATGCAGACACTTTCATACATTGCCCCACCCCGGCACTGCTTACAGAAATTTAAGTAGGTACATCCCCTATGACCCAGCAATTCTTCTGAGTACACATTCTAAAGAATTTTCCACAGTGCCCATAAGGGAGCATTTACAAGGCATTATTTATTGAAATGAGGTGTTGGAAGGAACCCAAGTGTCCCTTGTTGGGAGCTCCTAGGGGTAAAATGGAGTGGATGGACACATCGGAGTTTACTGCAATCATTAGAAGCAACAGACAGATTAGATGAACCCATAACAACACAGATGGGTCTTAAAAACATAATGCTGGTCGGAAAAAAAGGAAAAGAATGACACTACCACTTACTTTAATTAAAAGCATACACAAAAATACAGATTTTATATGAAATCGCACCAAAATACACATTAAAGTCAATTAAATGGTTAACTGCGGGAGGAAGAGAATGATAGTTGGGTGCAGGAATAAAACAGAATAAATAAAACGAGAGGCTTTGCATAGAACAACCGTAACAATGTATCACGAACTGTGGAATATGATCAGCGGTCAAACACTCTGAGAAGTAAACAAGTACCTCATTTTTTGCATGGGGGCTCAGATTCTCAGAAGGCTAAGAAAAACCAGTACGTGTGTGGATAATGTGAAATCTATTCACGTCCATCCTGGGCATATGAGGTTTGGATATGGCAAAAGCCAAACAAGTTGATTTTGTGGATGCATACCATACTGTATTCTGAAAGTTAACAAATTGCGTCTTTTTCTGGGGTGATGACCCTTAGCAGGCTGAACAAGTCCATTCTATGGATAAGAAATTTAGAGTCTCTGAGCGCAAACTAACCCATTAATCCTTGATGGGGAGCTCAGAAACAACAGGTTGTCAAATTCACTCATTGTAAAGGTAGCTCAGAGGCTGGACAAGACCAAATTGTGGGCAGTGGGTTCAGACACTCCTTACCCTTTGAATAAGTCCATTTTGTATTGTGAAAGTCCCTTTTGTGGATCGAGGGTTCAGCAATTCTGAGTAACAACAAATCATTTTTTCGGATTGGGATGCACTCCCTCTGAAGATTGGAGCATCCTGTTTTGCAGATGCACCTCAGGCAATCTACTGGAGGGGAATTCAAGAGACTGGCTTCAGGAGGCTGCCAGATAAGGATGAGGGCTGAAGTCAGAAACGAGAAGGAATGACGGCAGGGAAAAGAGTCCTGAAACAGGTAGTGAAATGTTCGGCACAGAGAAGAAAACATAGGGGTCAGGATAAGGCACTAAGAAACGAAGGGTCTGATGTTAAGGACCGTGAAGGGTGATGGCGTCACAGACAGTAGGTGGATAAAACATGGGCTCTCAAGGGGTAAGTCGTTAGAGGACTAAACGGTGAAGGAAACAATCGGCGGACGGCAATTACGGCGTCAAGGCCCCGGAAGAAGATAGCAGAACCAACGGGGGAAATGACGTCAAAGATGGTGAGGGTGAAGTCAGGGACGGAAAGGGGTGTGACAGAGAAAAGGTTCATGCGCAGAAGGGATGAAGACGGCTGGGGCCAGTGGCGCGATGCTTACGTCAGAGTCTACCAACCACACAAATCTCGCCTCCATTCCCGGAAGCGTGCTAAGCGCATTCCTCCCACCCACCTCACTGGCCTCAGCCAATGAGAGCTCACGCTCGGGGGACGTTTCGTGACGTGTCCGCTACGTAGGCTTTATCAGGCGTCTTCCCGCGCGCCAGCTTTCTCAGTCTCTCGGCTCTTTGGCGGTAGCTGTTTCTCCTGCCTTCTTACTTCTTAATTTCCAGGTAAGCAATGTTGGTCTTGCAGAGCGGCCACTCCTAGTCTCACTGACTTGCGCCGCGCCATGGGGAATAGCGACTTCTGACACGTAGGCTTGGGCTTTTCCGGGGGGGGGCGGGTCTCGTACTCGGAAGTGACACTTGTTGATTGCCGCGAGGCTGGCCGCGCTCTGTCCGAGTGCGGGAAGTGCCAGGAGGGTCTGGCGACTTTGATGGCAGCAGTGACCACGCGACAGTGGAGATCTGCGGGGGGATGGGTGGACCCCCTTTTTTCACGTGATCGCCGCCATCTTGTTCTGCGGGTGCTGAGGGAACGCAAGGGTGTAATGGGCATGCGCGGCCATACAAAATGACGGGCGTGGTGGCAGGGGATGTTGTGGGCATGCGTCAGAGCGGCCCTCAAATGGCTACCTCACTGAGCGGTTCCTGTAGATTTCCTCTTTTTTGCCTTTTTTCTTTTGTCTATCCTTAGTTATTCCTTATTTTGTCCCTTTTGTTTAGTTCCCTGTCCTCTCTTCATTCCCTATCTTCATTCTTTCTCACTCCGATCTCTTCTGTCTCCCATCTCCGCTTCTCTCCCATTCTTTTCCGTACTTTTCTCCGCAGGACTCGCATTTACTGCCATGTCCTCTGAAGAAGGGAAGCTCTTCGTGGGAGGGCTCAATTTCAACACTGACGAGCAGGCTCTGGAAGACCACTTCAGCAGCTTTGGGCCTATTTCTGAGGGTGAGTCTTGGGTCAGAACCATGATGAGGGGGTTGTGGAAAAAAGTCTGGGGCCCATCCATTTCAAGAAACATGCAGAAAAGACTCAGGACCCCAGGCCTTCATGTATGCCTTTCCTCCTTTTGTTTCTCGACCTAAGACTGAGGAGAACCCAATAACCTTCCATTGAAGATTGGTGGGATAAGGGTACATACTTTAGCTAACACTCTTTGCCACTCTTCTTACCTTCCTCCTCCTCCTCTCTCCCTTTCCCCAGTGGTCGTTGTCAAGGACCGGGAGACTCAGCGATCCCGGGGTTTTGGCTTCGTCACCTTTGCCAATCCAGAGCATGCCTCAGATGCCATGAGAGCCATGAATGGAGAGGTGAGGCTTCCTACCTTTATAGGGGTCCTGCCCCTATCTGTCACTTCCACCATTCTTTCTGTTTTTCTCTGTGTCTGCTAGGGGCAGCGTGGCCACCAAGCCCCGCAGTGCCCACTCACAGGAGCGTGACTGCCTTCTGTTCTAGGGGGTGGAGGGCAGCGGCAGACAGAGCCGGGCTGCCTGGGAGGCGACGACTGGTCCTGCATGAGGCCGAGAAGCCACCTGTGGATGGTTGACCTGCCCTGGGCTTAGGTAGTAGAGTCTGCAGACCTGCGGGCCTGGCCCGGAGAGGACCTCGTGAGTCTTCTGGGATGGACTCTGAAGCCTCAAACCAAGAGAGGTGTCTAACTAGCCCTAATAGTCGGGCAGCTTAGAGGAGTGGGGAGGAGAACTCACCTGAGTTCGGTCAAGATGTAAGTAGTAGCAGGGGGAACACGGTGGATTCAGGTCATGTTGTGGGATTCTGTAGCTCCCAATAAAGCCATTTTGGTCAGAGGAGCTTGTTCTGGAATGTGGCACCCAGAACCTGGTGCCCAGCAGGAGTTTCTGGGCTCATTTGCTCGCCTGCCCTGCCCACTCTTCCCTCACCACTGCCCTGTCTGACCACCAACCCATCCATCCTCCTTGTGTCTCCCCACACCTAGTCTCTGGATGGTCGCCAGATTCGTGTGGACCACGCGGGCAAGTCAGCCCGAGGAACAAGAGGAGGGGGTACCTTTGGGTCCTATGGGCGTGGTCGTGGCTACCCTAGAGGTAAGTGTAGTGGTTAAGTTTGATCATGGGGTATGAGTCACCTGTTAGTGGCCTTTGTCTAGATAATTGCCATTAAAATATTTATGTGTTATAGGTGGTGGAGACCAGGGCTATGGAGGTGGCAGGTATGACAGTCGACCTGGAGGATATGGATACGGATATGGATATGGAAGGTCCAGAGACTATGGCGGCAGGTGGGTAGCCCAGGGATTGGGGTGCTCTGGTGGTGCTTCTTTCTTAAGAGCTCAGCTTCTTGAGCATTCATTCATATCTTGTTTTGGTGCCGCTAGTTAGTTTTCGCTTTTACAAATAGTAGTGAACTATAAAGCAAGTACAAAACAGTATTCTGGGTTACGTACAACACTAATAAGTCATAAGATCATACAATTTCAGTGTTCAGTAGATGGTGAGAGGTATATATTAATTTTACTGTGTTGGTTAATGAGGTGTTTGTATTATATTAGTATTTGATATGACTTAATATGCTATGCATGTTATGTGCCGTATGACTGATTTCTACATGATGTTCATATGTTTAATATATTCCATTTTACGCATTAAAGTTTGTATTCTAGTACATAAAAAATGACAGGATATGTAAGCATACATGATCTTTAATATTATCAGGGAGTGTATATAATACATTTCTGGTATGACTGTTTTTTCTCAGAAGCCAGGGTGGTTATGACCGCTACTCAGGAGGAAATTACAGGGACAATTACGACAACTGAAATGAGGCATACACGCCTAATGTAGGTAAGACATGTATGTTGCTGCTGGGCAGACCTCTGTCCACCAGCCCTGCCCTGTTCCTCTCACTGTTCCTCCTGCATGTGCACACCTCACGGGACCATCTGACACCATTCCTAGGTCTCCCTTACTCTCGGGTGCCTGTCAAGGCTAGTCTGATTGTGGGGAGGGGAGAGGGCGGTCGGGCAGAGGAGAGTTAAACCTGTCTTGCCTGTAATCTTCTGTTCTTACTGAGCATGGAGGAGATGAAGGGGTCCCTGTTCAGCCTTTCAGCATCCTTAATCAACCCCGGGAAGTGAGCATGTTAGCCTGTTCCCCACATCACAATTCTTCCCTTTCTTTACTATTCTCAGATGCACAAGGAATAAAACTTCTGATCCAGGACCTTCCTTCCAAATGGCTGTGTTTATAAAGATATTTGGAGCTGCACTGAAACAATTGGGGGTTTTTTAAGTACATCAAGCTTTTTTTTTTTTAATTGAGCTCCCAAGGTAGCTTGTTCAGAAAGCTCCATGTTTTTTTTCTAAAAATTTCCTGTTTAAAGACAAATTCTGAGACATCTGTAGTGTCTGGGTGATTTTTTCTTTTTACCAGTTGTTTTAATTCAGGCTCTCAGGATTATCAAAAATGTTTGGCCAGACTGATTTTTTTTGAAGATAATGTGCATCTAGGAGCATTTAAAAAACCTGTATGCAATGTTTTCAGTTGTCATTAGAAAGCAATTTACCACTGTAACTAAGAAATGAAGAACATAATTACTTAGGGGTACTTTTTACTCCAGATATCTGCCTTCGTTATATAGAAGTTTCTTAAAAATATTTGTACGTCAGTTTTTGATACTGGAAGAAAAAAATATCCTGTTATGTTTCATGTAGTGTTTAGGATGTCTTTCATGGAGTTGATTAAAAAGATGAAACCTGAAAAAACAAATCGATCTTGATAGTGCTTTTTCCTTACACAAATTAAGGTATAGAGGCTTGTTACAAATTAAAAACAGGAAGATCAAGAGGGAGGCTTTTGATTTTAGTTTTGTTTTGGTGGGGAGGGGGCATAATTAGGTTCCAAGTGGGAGACTTTGAGAAAAGAATTTAGTTAGAGGGGTGGGCAGGGACTGCCAAAAGGATAGAGACCTTGAGTGCAAAGCTTGGAGTTTGGGGTTGGTTTGGGTATATATAAGGCCTGCTGGGGGTAGGGGGGCCGGGCGGAATCCAGGTGAAATCCCATTATGGCTGGAACTGGGTTTTTTGAGATGGTCTCCTTGGCCCATTGTGTTGTTGAGTATCAGCTTGGGAATGACTACTTGGGTTTGACTCTCCCTAGCTTCTCTGAACATCAAGTAGGTGCCCTCCTCACAGGACTGTTTCGAGAATGTAAGAATAAACAGTGGTTCCAACTCCTGAAATAATGGGGTGTTACAGTAAATTCACCTTAGTGTGAGGGACATGGGAGAATCCTGGTTTGAAAACGGTTGGTTCTAAGAGCACAGACTAGGATTCCAGTCCAAGTTACGCTACTTCCCAGGCACCTGTGCTCCCTACCTTGGGTGAGTCATTTAACCCATGTCCCTCAGGCTCGTGGACATTTTACTTTCTCTGTTGGGGGTTAAGTGCATTTAATAAGCATATACAGCCGGTAAAAACAGTTGGCAAAGCCATCAGCCACAGGCATTCAACTTTCCATGGTGGTTAAGGGTCTTCAGTGGTAAGGTGGTCGTGGTAGCCTGATTAGGTTTTTCACCCCTAGCTGGTCTTAGCTCCTCAGTTCTACTCCCTCTAGTCATGGTTCTGCTGCCTGCATTGGATTCCCATGTGCTTTATCTTTCTATCTGGAGCTACTAAATCAGCTGTGTCCATGGCTTCTGCCTGACTGATACTGAGCCAAGTACCACCAGATTGTAAGTTTCAGGACATCTCATACTGCCTTATTCCCTCATTCATGGAGCCTGTGTTAGTGGACTGAATGTGTCCCCTCCCCAAAGTAACGGTATTGGGAGATGAGGCTCTAATGGGGGTGATAGGGGTTGGGTGAGGTCATGAGGGCTCCACCCTCATGATGGGGTTAATGCCCTTATAAGAGTCCCTAAGAAGCTTGGTTCAGCCACCACTGTGAGAATACAAGTTAGTCTGCAACCTGGAAGAGCCCCCACAAGAGCTTGACCATACTTGCACCCTGATCTTGGACTTCATCCTCCAGAGGTGTGAGAAATTTCTCTTTGTAAGCCACCCGATAGATTGTACTATTGAACAGCAGACTGCGTGAGTCCCAGTATTGACAGCCTGCCTCTGGTGCCTCCCAGCTAGTTGGGACAGGCCCAAAGACCCCTCGTCCTCCCACCCAGTCATGAATTTGCTTTGACAGGTGGAGACTGGGAACTCCTGCAACCTGCCTGGCCCACTCTTCCAGGCGGAGGTAACAGCATTGTGGCCACTCTTACCAGATGGGTACTAAGTCTGAGGAGGCGTTCTGTGCTGGGCCTTCAGAGAGCTAAGGCAATGGGGTCTGGCAAGAGGAACGTGGTTATTTACTGCCTGGGGTGGCACCTCTGCTCCCTACCTCTTCAGGAAGTAAAATGGCCCTCTCTCAATGTGGCCTGAGGCAGGATCATATAATCAATTACAAAGTTCCTACAATAGAATGATCCCCAAAGTGACAACAAAGACCATAAACAGCCTTTCAGAAGGAAGGTGCTGTGTAGTAATGCAGCTCAGGGAGGCCCGGTCTCTTGTTCAGTTGCTCTAAGGAAAGAGGCCTAGAAGGGGCAGTACGTGGCTCATGAGTACAATTTCCAGACAGGAGACTCAAAACCCCATTAAAAGCATATTTTCTTCCGTTTTACCAGGACCTCACTAATGTGCATGTTTCCCAAGAACCCACCAGAGACTAGAAACTCCCAAATAGTCAAAGGTCCCTTGAGAAGCTGCATCCCAAGTCCTATGAAGACCAGGCCCCTGGCCTGCAAATTTTTGTATTCTCAAGCCCCAGATCTTGTCTATACCAAAAAAAAATTGGTAACAAACATCTGTGATAGACACTCCCTGGCCTGTTTCAAGGTCCTGAATAAATCCCAAGCTTTGCCCTCCTCACCTCACGTGGCTGAAATCACACCGTTTCCTAGCCTAAATTCTTTGCCACAGGTTCAACATGTGCAAAATGGGAGTTATCGTGTCCACTGTACAATAGCAGGGAGGGTAGAGCTCAGTGGTAGAACACATGCTTAGCATGCACAAGGTCCTGGGTTTGATCTCCAGTACTTCTGTTAAATAAAAGCCTAATTACTCCCCACCACCACCTAATTTTTTAAAAAATTGTAGTGTCCACCACGCAGAGGGCTATTAGATGACATGTTTAGCCATGGCAGATGATTGGGTAAAGATATGTATATACACAATGGAATATTAGCCATAGAAAAATGAAATACTGCCATTTGCAGCAACAGGGATGAAACTAGAGATTGTCATACTAAGTGAAGTAAGAAAGACGTAATTTATCATTCGTACATAGAATCTAAAAAAATGGCATGAATTTATAAAATCAACAGACTCAGAAAACAAACTTAGGTTACCAAAGGGGAAGGAGGAGAGAGGGATAAATTAGGAGTTGGGGATTAGCACATACACATTACTATATACAAAATAGGTAAACAAGGTCCTGTATAGCACAGGGAACTATATTCAATGAGTATTTTCAATGACTTGTAACCTGTAATGAATATATATATATACGTATATATGTATAATTGAATCACTGCCAAACACCAGAAACTAACGCAGCATTTTTTAAAACATTTTTTATTGAGTTATAGTCATTTTACAATGTTGTGTCAAACTTCCAGCATAGAGCACAATTTTTCAGTTATACATGAACATACATATATTCATTGTCACATTTTTTTTCGCTGTGAGCCACCACAAGATCTTGTGTATATTTCCCTGTGCTAAACAGTATAATCTCGTTTATCTATTCTGTTTTAAATCAGCTATACTTCAATAAATAAATAAATAGATGTGACATGTTGATAACAGGGTACGTCTGTGATACCCACACCTTGCCCTACGTTCTGGATTTGTGGGTGTAGAAAAACTCAAAAAAATTTTTAAATAATTCAGGTATGTAAAAAACATTAGATAACAGTAGGCAGTGTTCCTTCCACTCCTGCTTATGGAGACAGAACGTGCCACATTCCCTGCCCAGATGCATTCCTCTTCCACCCCCTCCAACCCTCTCCAGGCTGACAAGGACCATGATTCCTCATAGTCCAAAGTGCACAGAGATCTGAAAAACCAGAAGTGGTCTTTTTTCAAATTTGGTGACAAGACCTGAAGCTTTTCATAATTTTTATTTTTCCCATTTTGTATGAATATGCATACAATGTACTGCAGAAAATATTAGTGTTTGTTTGGTTATGGAGAGCTGTCCTAGAGTCCATGGGACGTGGGTTTCAACATACCAGTGAAAGCACAGAGAAAGTTAAGGCTTCTAAATTGTTAAAAACAATCCGTTGCACGGTTCTACATAAACATTTCTAATATGCTGTTCAGTCAAATTTTTAAACTCAATTTTAAGCTCCCTTGAAGTAAAAACTCTGGGAGTTTTTTACTTTTTGTACTTAAGTCATCTGAGCACAGAATTTGCAGTCTCTATTTTTTAAACTTTATGACCAATAATCCATAGTAAGAAGTACATTTTTCTTCTTTGGGATCCAGTCCACCCATTTGTCTATTTAAGTGGAGGAAAGATTTGATGAATGAAATGTGCAAAATCTTCCGGGCAAGATGGCGGAGTAGAAGGACGCTTGTAAGTCACCCTCTCCCACAAATACACCAAGACCCACATCTACAGACCCACTCAGCCAACCAGAGCACCTGCGGAACTCCGACAGATCATCGCCCTCTTCAAAAGATAAAGACGCCAAAAATCTGGTAGGAGAAAAGAAATGTGCAAAATGCCCTGATGTTTCGTAGTTTATTTTAACAAAGACAGCTGACCCCAAACCACTCAAATGCTTATGGAGCCTGAAGTTTAGAAAATGCAGTGTGTTTTACAATTGTTGGACCTGGGTGATAGATGCATGAAAGTTCATTATATCAGTACTATTGTAAGTTTGAGGTTTTCCACAATAAATGTCCAAAAGAAAAGTGTTAGAGGTGTGGTTTGCTAGACCTCTCCGTTGGTGTGGGAGGTGGGTAGCTGTCTAATGTTTCCTGCTGACCTGCCCCTGGTCCCCAAAGCCTTCTCCAAAGTTGCAGGCATTTCTACTCCAAAGGCCTCAGGAAACCCCAAACTGCTAGCTTCTACTTGACATCTGGCATTCCTTGATATTTTCCAGATACTGGTCCCAGAACCCCTTCCTGCTTCTGCTCCCCAATCACAGTCCTCGGGACCCCTCTGGCTCCTCCAGGCCAAGGGACCATTCCTTTGCCCAGCACCAGAGGTCCTGCTTTATCTCCTGAAAAAGCCAGGATCTCTTAGAAACCTGTCTCCTTGTGGGTAAAATGGGGATAAAACGCATTAAATGAGTTAAGACGTGGGGAACACCCAGAACAGTGTCAGGTAGTTAGACATAGTCAATGTTAAGAAGAGTTTGTTATGTGTGCCAGATAATAATGGTATAACAATGGATGTGACAAATTTCTTTCCTTGGGAATCACGTTTTGGGGTCTATGGATGATCAAGTAATAAAGTGATGTGTAATGTAATGTTGGCATTAAGGAAAATAAAGCCAGGGGCATGGAGAGTGATGGGATGCGCCATTTTACACAGGGTGGTTAAGGAAGATGACTCAGAGGAGGTAACCTTACAGCAGAGACTTGAAATAAGAGGAAGAATGGTAGGGGAATGGTTCCGCCACAGCGCTCTGGCCGCCTAGCACGTTTCCGCATAGGCGACGTAGGCAAGCTGATCTAAGTATTGGCAGAACGCCCCATGATCCT